GACAGAATCAAAAGCTCTGATCAGGCGGAAATCCTATGTGTCTAGTTTAGCAGAGGGAGAGAACCTGCAATCATGGTATCCAACCACAGGGTGAATGCTGCTCCCTCACTCACTGAGTGATGGAATTATAGAGAAGAAAAAAGAGATCTGCCACAAATGAGGAAAAATCAACAGAAAAACACAGGTAGCCTCCAGAGCCCTAAAGAAACAGCCCTTGAAAAAACAGTCATAGGAGCACAAACAACAGAAATCTCTCAGACCAAACTGACTTAGATGGCAGCTACAGAAATCAAACATTGGATGGCAAAAATGAATAAGAATCAAGAAAAACAAGAAGCAAAACTGAATGAAATTGTACAGGAGTTGGCCAATTTCAAAAAGGCCTATTCTGAAATAACAGAAATAAAAAACTACATCCTCAAAATAACCAACAAACTAACAAGCATAGGGAGCAGAATTAACCAAGCGGAGGAACAATTCTCAGATCTTGTAGATAAAAATATGGGATTAATGCAATCTGTTAAAATATAGGAAAAAACTCAAAAAGAAGAAGAAAAGCCTCCAAGAGATGTGTGATTTTATCAAGAAGCCAAACCTATATTTGATTGGTATCCCTGAAGCAGAAAGGGAAATGGAGACAGTACCTTGGAACAAACATTCTATGAGGTTATCCAAGAAAACTTTCCTCATCTCACCAAAGATGTGCCCATTCAAGTACAAAAGCTTCAGAGAACCTCCCCATAGGACATCATATGAGAAGACAAACCCCTAGACATATAGTAATTCGCCTACACAAAGTAGATATGAAAAAAGAAGAAGCCCTAAAGGCAGCAAGAGAGAAAGTTCAGACTACCTACAAGGGAAGGCCAATCAGAATAGCACCTAGGAATTGGGAGATCATCACTGAGTAAATACAGTGGAAAGAATCAACATAGGGCCAAACATGGCACTAACCAAGTGACTACATATCTCCTAAAAAATGAGATTCTGTAGCAAATCAGTGGAAGTAAAAGCTGCTACATAAGCAATTCCAGCCAAGAATTTCCTACCCTGCTAAGCTAAGCTTCATCAGTGATAGAGAATTAAAATCCTTCCCAGACATTCAATCTCTAAGAGAATATACCACCTCCAGATCAGTCTTCCAGAAGATGCTAAAGAAGGTGTTCAACACAGAAACAAATCAGTTATACCCATCACAAAAGTACAGGCAAGCACAGAGTTAACAGAGCATACAGATCATTCACAAAAATGAAAAACACACACACACACATAAAAGGGAAGCAAAGCAACCCCCTGAGAGCCCTATGACAGGAATAAACTCTAACATTTTAATAACTAATTTGAACATGAATGGACTGAATGAGTCATTGAAGAGGCACAGAGTGGTAAACTGTATAAAAAAACATGATCCAATATTCTGCTGCCTGCAGGAAACCCATCTCACTGCAAAGAACACCCACAGGTTCAAAGTAAAAGGCTGGAAAATGACCTTCCAGGCAAATGAAAAGCAGAAAAGAGCAGGGGTAGCTATTCAAAGCACATGTCAAACCATCAAAAGTAAAAAAGAACATGGAAGGACACTACATAATGATAAAAGGCTCAATACACAGCAATAACTATCCATTTTAAACATATATGCGCCCAACACAGGAGTACCAGGTTAAACAACTGCTAAGTAAACTAACAGAGGACACAGACACTCACACGTTCATAGTTAGAGACTTCAACACTCCACTAACAGCCCTAGATAGATCAGAGGCAAAAAAATCAACAGGGAGTCTGGAAATGTAACTCGACACTTGACCAAATGGATTTAATAGATATCTATAGAACATTCCACCCAACAACTACAAAGTATACATTCTACTTAATAGTACATGGAACATACTTCCAAGACTGATCATATTCTCACACATAAATCAAGTGTAAACACATTTCAAAAGGTTGAAATAATACCATGCATCCTCTCAGATCACAGTGGAATAAAAATAAATATTGCCCCCCCAAACACACAAAGACATGGATCTAAACAACATGCTGCTGAATGACTTCTGGGTCAACACAGAAATCAAGACAGAAATAAAAAGATCCCTTAATGAAAACAAAGACGCATGTTATCAAAATCTCTGGAATGCCATGAAATCAGTGATGAGAAGAAAATTCACAGTATTGCACACAAACACCAAGAAAATAGAAAGATCACAAGTAAATAGCCTAATGTGACACCAAAAGGAGCTGGAAAGGCAAGATAACCTAATTCCTAATTTCAGTAGAAAATCCAGATTACTAAGATAAAGTCACAATTGCAGGATATAGAAGACAAAAATATCATAGGATCAACAAGACAGAAAGTTGATTCTTTAAAAGGATAAATAAGGCCGGGCTCGGTAGCTCAGCCTGTAATCTCGCGCTTTGGAAGGCCGAGGTGAGTGAATTGCCTGAGCCTGCGGGTTTGAGACCTGCCTGGGCAACTTGGCGAGACCTCATCTCTACAATAAATTCAAAAAAATCAGCCAGTTGTGGTCGTGTGAGTCTGTAGTTCCAGCTACTTGGAAGGCTGAGGCAGAAGGATCGCCGGAACCCAGCAGGTCAAGGCTGCGCCGGCCGGGAATGGCCACTGCACTCCAGTCTGGGTGACTGAGTGAGACTCCAACTCAAAATAAATAAAAAAAAATAAAAACAAAAGGAAAGATAAGATCAACAAGCCCAGGCCAGGTGCGGTGGCTCACTTGGATAATCCCAGCACTTTGGGAGGTCGCAGTGAGAGTATTGCCTGAGCCTATGGGTTTGAGATCAGCCTGGGCAACTTAGTGAGACCTCATCTCTACAATAAATAAAAAAATCAGCTGGCCATGGTGGCGCATGCCTGTGGTCCCAGCTACTTGGAAGGCTGAAACGGAAGGATCACCTGAGCCCAGCAGGTCAAGGCTGTAGTGGCCATGAGCATGTCACCGCACTCCAGCCTGGGTGACAGAGACTCCAACTCAAAAAAAAGAGAAAAAGATTGACAAACGCCTGGCCAGATTGACTCTGTCACCAGCCTGGGTGACAGAGACTCCAACTCAAAAAAAAAGAAAAAGATTGACAAAGCCCTGGCCAGATTGACGAAAGAAAGAAAGAAAGGAAGAGAGGAAGAGAGGAAGAAAGGAACAAAGAAAGTCCAAGATTAAAACTTCTATACTTTAAACTCCATTACAAGGCTACAGTAACCAGGACGGCATGGTATTGGCACACAAATAGGCACACAGAACAGGGCAGAGATTCCAGAAGTAAAAGCATGGTCCCTCAACCAACTCATCTTCAATAAAGCCATCAGTAACAATCACCGGGGAAAGGAGATCATACTTAGCAAATGTTGTTGGGAAAACCGGCTAGCCACATGCAGAAGAATGAAACTGAACCCCTACCTGTCACCATATACAAAAATCAACTCAAAATGGACCAAGAACCTAAATGTAAAACCTCAGACTATAAGAATCCTAGACGAGAACATAGAAAACACCCTTCTGGACATCGGAGTAGGCAATGAATTCATGACCAAGTCTCAAAAACCAATGTTACAAAAGTTAAAATAGACAGGTGGGACCTCATCAAACCGAAAAGCTTTTGCACAGCAACAGAAACCATCAAGAGAGTTAAAGAGACAACCCACAGGAGGGGAAATAGTATCTGCAAGCTATCCATCTGACAAAGGCCTAACATCCAGAATCTACAAGGAACTCAAACGAACTGAGAGGGAAAATACAAACAGATTCATTAAAGTGGGCAAAGGACATGAACAGACACTTCTCAAAGGATGACAAATGGCCAACAGACACCATGAAAAAATGTTCAGCCTCACTAATCATCAGTGAAATGTAAATCAAAACTACGATGAGATACCACCTAACTCCAGTAAGGATAGCTATCATTAATAAGTTAAAAAACAACAGGAGCTGGTGCAGCTGTGGAGAAAAGGGAATGCTTCTACACCGGTGGTGGGAATGTAAGCTAGTTTAACCTCTGTGGAAGACAGTGTGGCGATTTCTAAAATAACTGAAAATTGATCTTCCATATGATCCAGCAATCTCTCTCCTGGGAATATACCTGAAGGAACATAAATCGCTCTACCAAAAAGACACCTGCACACATGTTTATTGTTGCTCTATTTACAATATCAAAAACATGGAACCAACTCTGTTGCCCATCAAAAGTGGACTGAAAAAGAAACTGTACTACATATACACAATGGAATATTACACAGCCATAAAGAAGAACAAAGTAATGGCCTTTGCAGCAACTTGGAGTCAATTGGAGACCATCATACTAAGTGAACTATGTTAGAAACAAATAATTGAATACAGCATGTTCTCACTCAAAAGCAGGTCCTGAATATTAGTCACAGCACAAATGTGAGAGCAGCAGTTGCTGCAAGTTATCCATCTGACAAACGGATACCTGGTCCTATCGGAGAAGTGAGGGCCAGCTAGAAGTTCAAACTTTACCTGCATGCAGCCTATTTATGTAGTAAATTCTTACTTGTACTCCACAACTCAAAAATTGATTAGTTTTTTAAAAAGCTGCTGAGATGTCCGAGTTGTTCATGGCAGCCTGTCGGAGTCCACAGATCTGTCAGATCGTTCACACGCACACTTTGCCAATATTGCCTCAATGACGACAAATAAAAGGGCTACTTATTAAAAAAAAAACAAAAAAAAAGCTGCTGAGTTGGAGTCCTATGTGAACTGCTTTACAGTTGTGTGACCAAGCAAGCCCCACTGCCCACCCAGCTCTGCCACTGGTACTGTAACAGCCACCTTGTCAAAAAAGAAACAGTGGCTATGAAGAGCCCCATCTGGGCTGACATGTGGCATTATGCAAACTCTCAGCAACAGGCTGAGCACCTACTCCCTACATACAGGGCACACTGCCAATATTCTTGTCCTTGGCAGGTGTGGCAGTTAGGAAAGGAGGATAGTCACTGAAGGTCTGCTGTGTTTCAGATGCTCTACCAGACATCCTCACACTGCCTTGCCATCCTCAGAGTGGACAGGCAACTTATCCACCTCGCACGTGGGGTGCCCATGAGAAGGGCTCAAGAGATAGCTGAAGGACCACTGAATCCTCACAATACTGCCTTGGAGAATGAACCACAGCAGGAATGTCAGGTTGCTGTCTCCAGGCCACACAGCTAGAAAGTTCTGGCTTCGTAGCCTTTCGTCTTGCTGGAATAATAATAATATTATTACAATTATTATTAGAGTTGAAGTTTCACTCTGTCACTCAGGCTGGAGTACAGTCGCATGATTACAGCTCACCACAGTCTTGACCCCCCTTCCTCCTCAGCCTCCCGAGTAGTTTGGAGTACAGGCACGTACCATTACACCTGACTAATTTTTTTGTAGAGACCAAGTCTGGCTATGTTGCCCAGGCTGATCTCAAACTTCTGGGCTCAAGCAATGCTCCCACCTTGGCCTCCCAAAGTGCTGGGATTACAAGTGTGAGCCACTCTACCCATCCTGCCGGAAAATTGACATCGTGGAAACTTGTTTTCCTATAACACCACTTTTGGCAAGTTTGTAGGCAGAAGTTAAAAAATCCAGCAGCTCAAACAGTTGTCAACATCCCAATCAACAAAATCCAGCCCATCCCAATCAACAAAATCCAGATAGCTTTAAAGCTTTAGCAATTGGGGGACTGCGTCTCCATGACACATTTTGGGATTAGAAACTATCTCCCCACAAGAGGAAAGAACCTAGAAGGCACAGGGGAGCCCCGCAAGGCAGCTTTTATCCTGGGCAACTATGCAAAACCTTCCTCCCTCTTTCCCGGCCTCCCTGTGGGGATACTAGCATGCCTGGTGGATTTCCTTCTCTCTCCTGCCACACTGACACTCCAGAGAACTGGCCTGAGAGCTCAGTTTCAGGACCTGAGCTATCTGAGCCAATGGCTTCCACTAGATCTACACTGAGTTCAACCCCAAAGGGGATGAACTTTAGTAGAGGAAATAAGAGGAAAAGGTGTGGAAAGTCAAGCTGCATCTCCTCACCCACTCACTCCCTTCCTTCCCTGCCCCCTTCCTGGGGACAAACAAAAGCCTACAAACAAATGTCAATGGCAGAAAGAAAAATCTGACTTTTCATCCCCTTTATTTTCTGGAAAACTCCCACTCTGCTAAATCCCATTTGGCATCACTGATGAGGGAGAAAATCCCAGGGATCATGCTCGGGCCACCCCACTGAGCCACTACATGGGACAATGTTGCTCCTAGGGTAATAGGGAAGGCCCTGGGAGTCAAGCGCTGCACCCGAGGTCAGCAGCTTCTTTCCCCAGTCTGCCTGGCTCTGGGTCCACTGCAACACAAACAGAACCCAGCAAGGGGGTTTATGCACAGGACAGTTGCAATAAAATAGGGTTACAGCAGTTAAAAGGAATGTACTAGATCCATGGGAATTCACATGGATAGAGTTAAACAACATGGTGCTGAGTGAAAAAGGAAGTGAACACCATTTACAGTGTGACAGCATTTAGGTTAAAAGAAAAAAAACGAACAGATAAATCATGGGTTTTTTTCCTAGAAGTATATATATATGTATGACAAGGTTTTTTTGTTTATTTGTTTTTTAAGTCTGGAAAGATACAAGCCTAATTGTAGGTCCTGCTGAGGCAGGGAGCAGCCAGAGGAATTTGAGCTTTGCCCTTAGTACTGCAATTGATTTCAAGAAGTATATGTTCCTTGTATGATTTAAGGGGAACTTTTAAAAGGAGGCGATGTTAAAGACAAGGCTGTGCTAGCACTTCTCTCCCTCATGCTTTTCCAGGGAGTGGCCTATCTCAGCGCTTGGTGCCTGCCTTTTGTCAGTAGTAAAGAGGGGTGCCAATGGCTACTCCCTCCATCTTTGTCCTCTGCCACCAGTGCCAGGCCTGTCCCCAGGATGCTGCATCTAAACCACCCCAATTACCTGCTAAAGCACAGCCTTTGACCGTGTGGCCTTTTCACAACCCCACCTCCAAGTTGTGTTGCCCAATCAGGCATAAGAACCACTGTCCTCACTGACCTGAGGGGTTCATGCAATCTGAGGAAATCCTTGGAGCCAAGGTGTTAAGAGTGGAACCCTGAGACAACCATCCTGGGCTCAAGGGTGGTGATGACCAAAGCTCATGGAAAGATAGCAAGGTCACTGGATAAGACTTTGAACCCATTGTGAGGTTCAGAGTCCTGGCTTGTCCTAGTCAAGTATGAAAAATCTGAGAGGTCCCATAGCTGTTGATGCAGGGAAGGGTCACAGAAGCAACGGCAGCCAGCATGGCATGGAAACTCTCACTGTATGAGCTTGCCATGCAAGTGGGCAGCGACACCACTTGCCATCCAGCATTTTCACTGAGGCCCACCCCTGCCCAGTTGATTTTCCTTCAGACCGTTTCATTCATTTTTTAGTCCACCTCTAGTTGATTTTCAGATCTAGCCTGACAGCATAATGAAAATTTATTGCCAAGTGAAATTGCAAATCCTGCATAAGATGTGAGACTTCATGAAGTTGATGAAAACAATGCTAGGAAACTGCCCGAGCCACAGGTCAAGCATTTACACATGAGGACCAGGCATAATTACTGTGGTTCACAACAGCCCAAGAAAGGAAAGTAAACTGGCCAAGGAAGAAAACACATGCTCTTCACAGACACAAAAAATTCAGAGAATCCTGGGGAAGAGATGCAGCCCTCAAGTATCTTTGCAAAAATAACCCTTTAACCTTTCATACTGCAAAGGTGAAGAATCATATCACATTACCATAAATCATGGAAAATTAAGCTCCCCCAAACCAACCTAACTTAAACATTCTTTGTTCATTTGAAGGATTCGAACATAGTTGTAACTGTCACCAAAGACCTAGTAATATAGGATTTATAAATTATTTTCGTTACTCTTACTCTTTTTCAAGATAAAGTCCCAATCACACCTTTTATTGACTGTTCTCTTTAATCATGCATCCTCATTTTGAATATGTTCATTTTATGACTCTAGTGTTGACTACCCTCAAACAGCAACCTTTCCTTTTATGTTTGTGTTGGTGACCAGGAATGTCACCCAGATTATAAAAGTGGAGGTGAAGTTTATGTCACTGTTATATTCTTCTTCATACTTTCTAATAGCATTTGACTTTTTACACTAAGCACACATCACTTTTATAAGAAAAAGCAATAAAGAGTTGTTACCTCTTTGAACGGGGCTGGGCTTCCCACCATTTACCTCCATGCTAAGAGGGCAACAGCATTGTGAGACCAAGGAAGAGTTTAGAGGCTCTGGGAGCCGGTCTTAGGGAGCTCTGCAGGGTCTCAGGGAGCAGTGGGGCCTTGGGTATGATGACAGAGGATCACCCTCAAGGACAGATGGGCTTTCAGAGGATAACAGCAGTACAACTGTGGGCTGAGAATCTTATTTGGTCTTCTCAACTAATTCATGACAGTGTTAACAATGCCACCATCTTGTTTTGGGTTTTAATCACAGATGGTCACTGCAAAACTTGACGCCTAGAGCCATCTGCCTGACCAGCAGGTTCCTTCAGTGCTCTGCTCTCCTGGGTGACCTTTCTGGGCCATGGTGTCTTACTACTGTGCTAGCCTAAATATGTCAGTATGGCTCCTTTGCTTCCATCTCAAGAGGCCAAGGGTACCCTACTGAGTGAAGACCTTGGGTCAGACCCAGCATTCTATAACGGGGGAATCGCCCTCCAAGAGAAACTTCAAAAATCCCAACCCAAAGTCAAGAATTTTACAAGGCTTGACAAGTTCCTTTGAGGGAACAGGAAAGAGACAGCTACTGCTGGTGACCCATACACCTCCCCTACTTAACCCACTGTAACTAATGGCTACCAGTTGGGTTCCAACAGCCTGTCCCTGAACTTGCCTGCACTGGACTGGGTATCCAAAGAGCAAGGATCAAGCTGTCAGTGGCCACAGTACAGTTTGAGTTTCATGGGGAGATTCATCTGTGAGATCCCAGCATGGATGTGAGAACAAGAACAAAGAACGAGACAACATTGCTGACCCAAGGATAAGAATATAGAGCAAATGGAAAAGAGCCTCGCTGACCCGAAGCACTATTTGGACAGAAGTATGGCAGGCCCATGTGCAGCGCCCCTCCTCACCTGCTCCCCAAGCTCAGGAGGCAGATCTTCACTGCTTCAGCTGGCGCAAGGCAAATGAGTGCAAGGCATAGGACATGGTGCCGTACTCAATCCACAGACAGGGATAGGTTGGAGCTGTCAATCTCCAGGGCCTGCCGGAAGCAGTTCAGAATGGGCGTGGCATGCGTCCAAATGGGCCCATATCTCTTCAGCTCATTGGAGTTCAGCTTGTCCCGAATGCGACTGGCCCGGGCCAGGGCCATGCCTGCCCAGGAATCAAACCTGTGGTGGTGACAAAAGCTAAACACGCCACTGCTAACAGCATGGCAGACATGACAGCCTGCAGACAGACATCGTAGAAGCTCACCTCTCATACTAGAGCCAGCTCTGCCACTTGCGGATGTCATATCTGTGATCTGGACCAGTCATGCCTCTGAACCTTGATCCCTAACCCATGACATATGGCTAAGATCTATCTCAAGAGAAGAGCTGCAGACACTATATGACAGAATGTATTTTAAGTCATCCAGCACCTCACAGGTATTCAGTAACTGCTCTAATGTGCTCTTGGACTACTCTGTTCCCATGCTTTGAGGGGTTACTCATGGAATGGCTCTGGTGGAAAGGAAAAGGGGTGCTCTATAAGGCATTGCAGCAGTAGCTCAGCTGAGGCGCCAGGAAGACTCACAGCCAGACGTGACTTCACCTACGCCTGTGCTGGCAGAGCCTGCCCCTCAGCACCCTGGCTGACCAGAAGCATGGGCAGCTGAGACTCTAGGACCCCCGCCACCTAGCTTCTACCCTGTTCTCCCTCTGACACCCTGAGCAGACCTTGCCCTTTCCAGCTCAGTTCCCAGTTGTAAAATGAAGGGTAAGAAACCATGTGATGGTTGAGATCCTACCATTTTGAGGTCACCTGAAAGAAAATGATAGTGAGAACACATAAACCTGTCTGAGAGGACAAAGGGTCAGAGAGACCAAGACGATTTCTGGTACCTGAGAGAGTTTGGGATTTACTGAATGTTAGTACACAGAAGAGAAAAGGCAGCAATCAGAAGGGTAGATGTTACCATCCCATATGCCACTGTTGGCACAGAAGACTAGGCTAAGTCCAAGTCTTGCCTGGTGCCTGCTTGTTAGAGCCAGAATGAAGGTGATCAAGGACTGGAGACCAGAACCAAGCCACTAAGTGCCTTACTGGCTGTGGGGCCAGTCCTCACAGGAGATTACTTCTTTGCAGCAGGGCTGCCAGTGGGCCAGTCCTGACCAGTTGATACCCTCTAAACAGGCGAGTATACAGGTTAGAGGAAGGCCTAGCTGAGCTGCCATGATCCTCATTTCACAGACAGGGAATATCGAGTGACAGGCCATGCCAGGTGCCCAGTGCCCTGTTTTATTGGCCTCACTTTTCAGATGTGCAAGCAGTGGTGCAGAGGACGTAACCTCCCATTGTGTGGTACAGTGAGCACTCATCCAGTCTTAGCACTGGACAACGGCTCCCACTCCACCCCAAAAGGACAGCTAGGGCTCTGTCACACAACTCCCTGCCTGGGGAAAATCACAGGCTGAGCAAGAGGAGGTTTGTGAGAATGTTTCCCACAAGCTACACAAGTCTTGCAAACTAGTTTCTCCACTCAGATCCTAGTCCCTTCTCCCCTTATCCTGATAAGGTAGAATACTATGGTTTCCCCTGAGTAAGAGAGGCCACCATAGGCTGACCCCTGAATACTTCCAAAAGTTTTACCTGCTTATAGAAGCTATTCTGGACTCTTCAGATGCAGGTCAGCTACAGAGGGTGACCTCATTTTGACCCTGACCGAAGGCTTACCTCCTAGGTATAGCAACCATGATAAAATATTCCCTCTTAATCAAGTGCATCAGACTTCATAAGTGTAACAGGGCCATTTAGAACACTTAGGCCAATCACTGCATTTCTTTCTTTTTTTTTTTTTTGAGTTAGAGTCTCACTCTGTCACTCAGACTGGAGTGCAGTGGCTGCTCCCGGCCACTGTAGCCTCGACCTGCTAGGCTCTGGTGATCCTTCCACCTCAGCCTTCCAAGTAGCTGAAACTACAGGCGCGCGCTACCACGCCCAGCTAATTTTTTTGATTTATTGTAGAGATGAGGTCTCGCCAAGTTGCCCAGGCGGGTCTCGAACCCATGGGCTCAGGCAATTCACTCATCTCGGCCTTCCAAAGCATGGGATTACAGGCTGAGCCACTGAACCCAGCCAATCACTGCATTTCAAGAGCAAGTCAAGCAGGGTTTCATGGGAAGAAAGTACGCTTTACATGTACTCTCACGGACTTTCCTACATTTACCATTGTGACAGTCTACTGCCAACAATGCAGTGTATCGGAGCAAGGGAGAACTCCAGCTTGAGTTTTTATATTATTAGTCCTCCACTCCCACCCCTATAAGAAATCAACCATAATTAAGAAGTTGCAGTGGAAGTAGCATGAGTATAAATCAGTCACCTTACTGGGCCCTGAGGCCAGGAGAGAAGGTGGCACAAAACCAATGGGATGGAGCCAGATCATACTTCCTTGCCCTACACACCAGGGCCCAGATGGACACCTTGTATCTTCACTATCTCTTACCTGTTGGAAAGCCTAAAACAAGTCTCCATTATACTTTTTAAAATCTGACCCCAATACCTCTCCCCAAGGGTCTTTGGAAAAGAAAGCTTCTCCCCTGCTCTTTTTATGGAGACCTTGCCTTTCCTAATAAGTTCAGAGTGCTAAACCACCTTATTCCTTTTCCATCTCTTTGCTAGAGGCAGGGAAACCCCAAGCTGGGCCACTAAAGAGCTTGCTGAGCTGGAGCCACCCCAGCTACCTCTGCAGTCACCATGGCCCCACACCCCTGTCACTGACCTATTGGGGCAGATGCAGGTATCATGCATGTAGAACTTGATGGCCTTAGACTGCCCCTTGTTTTTGAAATGATAATCAGCCAGGAGGTAGTAGAGCTCATTCACCACTGGAGGGGAGGGGTCAGCCCCTTCTGGGAGGCAGGGCACCTGGCAGATGAGAGGGTAAATATGAAGGAAGGTGGAGTTGAGGACTCAAATATGACCAGGACTGTTTGGTCACATCAACACAAGACAGACTCTCTGGCTTCTCCTGGTCCTAATGTCTGGTGTACAGCAAAGAAAGAAGCAAAGGAGCATATGCAGCAGTGCTGGAGGGGAAGGATTTGACCCAGTCCTATCACCCCACATCCTCATGTTTATCAGGGTCCACCTTAATCGAGGTTCCTTCAATGTAGGCAGAGATTTTGTCTAGGCTCAGTGCTGGTCTCTCTGAGCGGGGCACGATGGTGGTGCTTCTCTTTAGGAGGTTGGCTAAATCAGCAGACACAGTGCTGGTCTTGTAGCTGTCAAACTCGGGAAGGGTCTTGGGCTTGAAATACTCGAACATAAACAGGGCATCCTCCCATATAAGATCTACCTTGAAAAAAAGACAAAAGGCAGATTAACAGTACATTCAAGGTCAATGAAAAAGAAAAGTTTTCTTTATAGAAATACACTGTATCTGAGGTTAACGAGGTTACAATATGTTGGAAGGCCTAAAACAAGTCCCCATTATACTTTTTAAAATCTGCATGCCCATTGTAGTCTCTGAATCCAAGTACCTGAAGAGCATAAGCCTGTCCTTTATAAAGACAATGTTGGAAACTGAGGGCTGTGTGCTGTGAGCCTGGTGGCTGAACCAGACAGTGGGCTCAATCACTGGTGGGAACCTTCTGCCAGCTACTGACCTTTTCTCCATGCTTCAACTGTTCCCGTGGTCACTTGGTTGACAAATACCAAATGAGTGCTGACTCCAGACCAGGGTGGTCCTAGATACAGGGGCCATAGGAGAGGTCCTGTCCTAAGGAGCTTACATTATAGGGGATGAAATCCCTAAGATCAGAGAATCACTGACAGTACTGAGGAGGCAAAATATAATATACCCAATAGCGCTCTGAAAACTGAAACAACACAGCAACAAAATGAAAAACCTCTAAAGAATTATTCATATTATTTAAATTAGAAATAAATCTATTGACAATTGCCATGCTTAATTTTTGAATGGTTAGTCAACATTTATGAGGCTAAGTCTTTACAAGGAAAACCCCTGTCTTTTGCTCAGACTACATTTGACTGTCTTCTCCCTCATTTCTGATCCAACTCCAACTGGGACTGCGGGAAAGTGTTGATAAATCCGATACTGATCAGGAGAGCTCAGAGCTTCCACATCCCACTCCTTCTCTGGCCTGTTGAGGTACCCTCATCTGCTGGGCTGAGTGCTCCTCCAAGTACCTGGCCTTGCTCTTCTTGCTGGGGAAGCTATATAGGCAGTAGAAACACTGCTCCAAGGCTGTCTCCAGCTCCTCCTTGTATGGGTGCATGTCTTCTGAGGTGGATGCAGCAAGCTCCTTTTGGAGAACATGTACCTACAGTGGGCAAAAGTGATGCCTGAGCAAAAGACCTACAGACACAACCCTCCTATCATAGCAGGTTACGAGGAGACCACCACTTTATCAACTCTCTTAACCTAAGGTTATATTTGTTGGGCTCCTGCACAACTTGATTCCAAAAAGACCCATTTCCTGGAGGAAAAAAAAAAAAACTTGTTATCCTAATGGGAATTATTCTAGGCCCAGTTCTGGGCACAGCAGTAGCCTCCTAATGGGTCTGCCAAGCTGCTTACCTTCCAGCACACCTAGCCCGTTTCTACCAGCCACTAGAAGAAGATATTTTATGCCTCCTGGTGATTTTTTCGTTATTTAGCCTTTCATTTGCTCAGTGAATATTTACTGAGTACCTTCTCATATAGGCACAGTGTGATTCAGCCCCAGCTTTTAAGAAGTACAGATTCCAAAGGAGGGAATGGAATTAATTAAACAAATATTTATAAACAGATAATTATAATATAGGATGATAAATCTCATCAGGGCTGAGAAAATCTCTCTCAGACAAAACATTAGTTAGGATCACAAGGCATGTGAATAACACAGTAAATTAGTATATTTATAGAAATGTAATACCATGGCTATTGTGCCCAATTACTAGTAAATATACATTCTTCACAAGCATCTACAGCATTTTTACCAACACTGATTTAGTCAACAAAGACTAAAGGCTAGTTATAATATATACCACATCCTCTGAACATAATTCAATAAAATTAGGAATCAATTACATAAAAATAGCAAACACCAACTATCAAAACTTATGGGATGCAGCTAAGAATGTATTTGGGGAAAATTTGTAGTCTTCAATACATGTATTAGAAGAATGAATATTGAAATAAGCATTCAATCCAGTAAGTTAAAAACAACCCAATAAATTCAAAGAAAACAAAACCAATATTAAAGTGGCAACTGATTAACTAGAAAGCAAACAATGGACCTAATAAACCAATAGCTAGTAGTTTGAAAAGACTAATTTTGGACAAACCTCAGGAAAGACTGGTTTTTAAAAAGGGGGAAGAGAAAGCACAAAAAAATAATTTTAGCAGTGAAAACTGGCTGAGCACAGTGGCTCAAGACTGTAATCCCAGCACTTTGGGAGGCCAAGGCGAGAGGACTGCCTGAGTCCAGGGGTTTGAGACCAGCCTGGGCAACTTGGAGAGAACTTGTCTCCACAATAAATCAAAACATTAGCTGGGTGTGGTGGCATGTGTCTGTAGTTCCAGCTACTTTGAAGGCTGAGGCAGAAGGATTGCCTTAGCCCAGTAGGTTGAGGCTGCGGTGGCTACTACACTCTAGCCTGGTAGAAAGAGTAAGACTCCGACTCAAAAAAAAAAACGAACAAAAAACAAAAAAAGAAAAAAACAAGCAATGAAAAAACAGGCATAACTAGAGGTACCACAAAAACTTTTAAAAATTGTAAGCAAAATCCATAAGTAGCTTTATGCTAGTAAGTGGTCATTGCCCCCAAAACATAATTGGCTTGAAAAGAGAAAAGCCTAGGGCAAGGGCAACTTTTTCAGGTCCCCTCCCACTGTGGGAGCTTTTCTATTCTCTCAATAAATCCTGCTTTCTAAAAAAAAAAAAAAAAAAATTGAGAGAGAGAAAAATCTAAATAGGCCCCTAATTACCCTAATCACTAAAGAAACAAAAAGATAAGACAGCTTAAAATTAACAAAAAGATAAGACAACTCTAGACTATCGGTACAAACAACGGCCCATGGGCCAAATCCTGCCATTGTCTGTTTTCTAGGCCTAGAAGTTAAGAATGGTGTTTGTATTTTTAAATAACTGAAAAAAGTCAAACAAAAAAAAGTGACTTTTAAAAACATAAGGATTATATGAAATTCAAATTTTAGTGTCTAGAGTTTTGTTGGAACATAGCCTATATTATCATAGTATAGATTTACATGTTATCTGTGTTTGCTTTTGCAGACAATGGAAGACCAGAGTAGTGACAACAGAGAGCCTTGGGTCCAAAAGATTTACTATCTGTCTCTTTATAAAAGAGTTTTGCTGACCCTTGGCCAAGAGCATGGGGGGGGGGGCTTAGCCAGGTGTGGTGGTATATGCCTGTGCTCCCAGTTACTTGGAGGGCTGAGGTGGAAGGATCACCTAAGCCCAGGAGGTCAAGGCTGCAGTGAGCCATGATTGTGCCACTACACTCCAGCCTGGGTGACAGAGTGAGACACTTGACTAAAAAATAAAAAGAGATTTTTTTTTAATTTAAAAAATTAAAAATAAAAAATTTCCCATATATCTACAAAAACAAAACATAAATAATGATTTTTAAATATCTATTTACAGCAGCAATAAAAAAGATACCTAGGCACTAATCTAATAAAACATATATATAAGAGTTTTATGGAAAAAACTATAAAAGTGAATTAAGGGATATGAATATAAGACCTAAATGAATGGGGAGATACACTGTGTTCATGACTGGAAAGACTCAATCATATAAAAATGGGAGGTCATTGCCATTCCAATCAAACTTCCAATGGGGGTAGTTTCACAAAATTATATAGAATGATCTTACAATGTTATGAAAGAGAAAAGGGCCAAGAATAGCCAAGAGACTAAGAAATAGGTAAGTAGAATAATCCTAGCAAGTATAAAGATCTCTCAGTGACAATGTGGTATTGACACAGAAAGACAAGAAAACTACACCAATGAAAAGGAAAGAACCCAATAGCAACCCCTCACATGTATGGATAGAAGACAAAGGTAAACCAGTGCAGAGAGAACAGACTCTTCAATAAATGGTATGAGCCAACTGGCCATGCATATGGAATGTAAAATTGGATAACTGCCTTAGTTCATTAACAAAAATAAATCTATGGAATAAAGATCACATGGAAAAAACAAGAGCAAACTTTTAGATGAACATAGGTGAGAAGATCTTTATAATTTTCCTACAAGAATTTCTTAAACAAAGAACCAAAAAATTAATTTATAAATCATAAAGGAGAAGACTGATAAATAAATTTGACATTAAAAAATTTTAATTCTGTAAAACACTATACACAAAGTTAAAAGACACCCCACATAAAGTTGCATAGAAATAAAACTAAGGAGACACACACACACACAAGCATGCAAAACTGGTAAAACATAATCAGATAAAAGACAGATATTTAGAGCACATAGAGAAGTCAATAGGAAAAGGAAACAAGCCAACAGAAAAACGGGCAAATTACATGAACAGGCAATTTACAAAAGTGCCAATAAACATAAAAAGATGATCAAGCACTAATAATCATAAATTATTAAAAATAATATTTAGCAGGTGCAGTGGCTCACAATCCCAGCACTTTGGGAGGCCAAGGCAGGAAAACTGCTTGAGCTCCGGAATTCAAGACCAACCTAGGCAGCATAGAGAAACCTGTCTCTATAAAACAATTTAAAAGTAGTCAGATATGGTGGCACAAACCTGTAGTCCCAACTACTTGGAAGGCTGAAGCAGGAAGATGGCTTGAGCCTAGGAGTTCCAGGCTGCAGTGTGCTATTATGATCATGCCACTTCACTCCAGCCTGTGGGACAGAGTAAGACCCTGTCTCTATTTAAAAAAAAAAAAAAAAAAAAGCTTTAGGCCAGGCATCAACATTTAGGTCTATAGTACAGGTATGTATGGAAATTCTCATCTTGCTATTAAAAGTATAAAATTATTTTGGAGAATTCAAAAACACAGTTTTTAAAGTTAACAATGTATATGCTTTGTGATCTCATAGTTCCTCTTATAGGAATCTACACTGAAAAACTTTCACATGCACATATAAAACAACTTCTGTTTTTTTTTTTAACAATAATGCCATCTATAACCTCCCAACTAAATAAACAACCTTAATACCATCATCAAGAAAACTTAGAGTGATATTTAAAGAGGAAACTATATCATGTCTAGGATTTGCTTCAATATGTAGGATGATTGAGGGGAAGGTGATGGAGTGGCCATGCATTATAAATTAATAATTACTGATCACTGCTCAGTATATAGAAGCGCATTATGCTATTATTTCTACTTTAATGTAAGTTTGAGCCTAGGAGTTCCAGGCTGCAGTGTGCTATTATGATCATGCCACTTCATTCCAGCCTGGGTGACAGAGTAAGACCCTGTCTCTACTTTAAAAAAAAAAAAGTTTTCCATACTAAAGCATTTAAAATCATGGTAGAATCACACAATAGAATCCTATAAAGTAATTAAAATGAATGAATCCGATTTACCTGTATCAATATAAAAATATCTCAGTGTACTGAAATGAATGAAAGCAAGCTGCAAGAGGCTACATATTATATGATATTCTGTATAAAATTTAAAAACTCATGTAATTATGCATTATTTACTGATATACAGATATGTAATAATTAGGTATAAAAACATGAACAATAAGATATATGCCAACTTCAAGATAGTAAGGGAGGGTAATGATGAACATGCTATCTTTCTTGTATCTTTCCTGTAACTTTCTATTTCTATTAGAAGACAAATTTGCAGCAAATTGGCAAATTGTTAATCATACATAATCTGGGTGATGGCACAAGAGACCCAATGTAAGAGGGAACTGTCCAGAGGTTGATAAAGGCTCCACAGTACAGAGACCATTTGAACTGAATGTAGATGAGTGGATAAGAATTTATCAACCCAAACAAAACACATAAAAAGAAATGGCAACTCAAGAAAAGAAAAGATGAGAGCCCAGGGAATTTCTCTCAGAAAACATTTCCATTCTATTCAAGAAGAGAAAACAATCTACACAAAAGGTCTCCCTGTTGTTGGCCTCAAAGCACTCTCAATACACAATCCTTTACCTGCAGACCATGAACCTGGGACAACCAGAAGAGGTAGTAACAAAGTATTCACTGGCTGGGCTTGGTGGTTCAGTCTGTAATCCCAGCACTTTGGGAGGCCGAGGTGAGTGGACTGCCTGAGCCCAAGGGTTTGAGACCTACCCGGGCAACTTTGTGAGACCTTGTCTCTACAATAAATCAAAAAAATTAGCCAGGCTTGGTAGCGTGTGCCTGTAGTTCTGGCTACTTGGAAGGCTGAGGCAGAAGGATCGCCAGAGCCCCGCAGATCAAGGCTGTGGTGGCCAGGAGCGTGCCACTGCACTCCAGCCTGGGCGACAGAGTGAGACTCCAACTCAAAAAAGAAAACAAACAAAAACAAAGTATTCATCTTCATAACACTCATAGCACCTAGAATGGGGTATGTTCAGCAAATCTCTGGATAAATGAATGAATGAATGTTTTTGTCTGTTCATTCATTATTCAAGAAGTTTAAGCAGGGCGGTACTCTTATGTCAGACACTGCTCAGGGCCCTAAGGATGCTTCAGATAGCAAGACAGAAAAGGTCCCTGGTCTTGGGGATGCTATCTGGTAGGGGATGGACACATGAAAGAGATAAACAGTGGGGGTCCCCAGCAGTAGACAGGACAGAAGTGGGGCTGAGCAAGGCCTCTGTGAAAAGGCAGGAAGGAAAGAACAAGCAGCCGTGCAGAATCTGAGAGTGTGGCAGGCAGAAGGCACAGGAGTGATCAGGAGACTGGCAGCAAGGGCTGGGCCTTGAACAAGAAAATCAGGAACTATAAAATGAAACACAAGGGTATTCATATCACTTCTACTCCCTCAAATTCAATTGGCAGATACTGACACCTAGAATTTATGCTCCACCAAAAAAAGATGTAGACTAAGAAAAACTGGGCATAGGACCACCCCATCGCCCCTTCAGCCTACCCTTCTTTCTCAGCACCACTCCTACCTAAACCGGCCTACAAAGATGCTAACACATTTTTCCCAATCAGCAAAGAGGTACAGCCTTGTAGAAGCAGTCTCCCTACACACTTTGGCAGAGAGAAGGCAGAAAAAGGGAGAGGCTGATTTCTGGACAGCAATACAGACTCAGCCTGCCACAACTCTTCCAAAAATGGTCCTGGAGGGTAGAGGTGATCCAGGGTAAGCACCCTGGAGGGCCTTGGAGCTCACAGGGAGAAGACACTCAGGTATCTGGAGCTGAGGCTGGAATTCACCTCAGATGCTAATCAGCTCCAGGGCCCTGGGCCAGATGGGTCTCCTTGCCAAATCTCCATGTCCTCAGCATACATGCTTTGCAAACTGTCAAGCTTTATACACACAAGCTCTATACATGTGTACAGTCTCTTCAACCCATATTTATTAAGCACCTACTATGCGCCAGGCATACTAGGTACTTGGATCCAGTAGTGAACAAAACTAACAAAAACCCCTACTCTCTCAGAAGTTACATTTCATTGAAAAAGGGACATCATAAACATAACAGAGGAGGAAATTATCCAGTATGCTAGAAAATAAGCAAGCTTTTCTTAAAGAATCAGAGAGCAAATATTTTGGGCTTTGTGGGCCATACAAACTCTATCATAGCTACTCAACTCTGCCACTGTACTGCAAAGACAGCCATGTTAATATGTAAATAAATGGGCAAGCTTCATCCCAACAAAATTATGAATAGATGTTACAGGTTGGGTTAGAAACCCTCTCTTGGTACATTTAGAACCCGGTGCTCAGTAACTTGCCCCACTCAATAGTGAGGTTTGGGGACAGGGTTTGTGCAGCTTATCCCTACCCTGGTAAGCCCAGGGAGCTACTATCAGTTAATCACAGTTGGCAAGTGCGAGAAAGTCTATTTGTGCTCCCTAATCATTTAATGACCGAATGAACGTAATAACTACTGATTGAGCAACTACTGTCTGACATGATGGGTGGTGCTTGGCAAACAGGACTCAATAGGAGGTGGTGGTGGTAAATGTGGTTATTTCTTATAAAATTACTAATACAGGCTGGGTGTGGGGGCTCATGCCTGTAATCCTAGCACTTAGGGAAGCCAAGGCAGGAGGATTGCTAGAGCCTAGGAGTTTGAGATCAGCCTGAGCAACATAGCAAGGCCTTGTCTCTACAAAAAATAAAAAAGCTGGGCAAGGTGGCATGCACCTGTAGTTCCAGCTACTTGGGAGGCTGAGGAGGGAGGATCATTTGAATTCAAGGCTGTAGTAATCTATCATTGTGCCTTGGCCCTCCAGTCTAGGCTACAGAGTGAGACCCTAACTCAAACAAAACAAAATAAAACAATACAATTACTGATACAAGGCCCAGCCCTGTGTCTAACTAGGACTAGACTCAGTAATGACTAGTGGATCTAAATCCATCTACTGTTTAATGCCAGGTCCAGAGCTCCCTGAGTCCCAGTTGTATAAGAGAACCAAGTTCAGACTTTCTGGCAACTTTCAGTAGCTACAGACATGCAGTAGTTCAGAGAAGCACAGTGGGCCCCACAGCAGAGGGAAGGCCAAGTAATCCCAAGGGTGCCAACACTGCTCTGTCCTCCTTCGCACCCCACCTCCCACTCCAGCCCTGTGCTGGCAGCCCATGGGCCCAATGGAAAGCACTCACAGAGAATCGCAGAAGAGCCCCATCTGAATTGCAGCACCAGGATATCCTGCCCAGATACTCATGGGCTGTGTTGAGCAGCATGAGGGAGGACGGGAGCATGGGCATCTCTGATATCCCTGAGGAAAGTCCAGACCAAGAGATGCAGTTAGCATGGAACATGTACAACTGCACACAAACTGCAAGTCTCAGTCTCTTCTTTGGAAGTTTTTCTGTCTTTATTGACATGGCCACAGATTTTTCTTCTATTTTTTTTTTGAGTTGGAGTCTCACTCTGTCGCCCAGACCGGAGTGCAGTGGCTGCTCCCAGCCACTGCAGCCTCGACCTACTGGGCTCCAGCGATCCTTCCGCCTCAGCCTTCTGAGTAGCTGGAATTACAGGCACCTGCTACCATGCCTGGCTGATTTTTTGATTTATTGTAGAGATGAGGTCTCGCTAAGTTGCCCAGGTGGGTCTCGAACCTGTGGGCTCAGGCAATCCACTCACCTCAGCCTCCCAAAGTGTGGGATTACAGGCTGAGCCACTGAGCCCAGCTATTTTTTTTTAATCTTTTAAAGTAATGACTAGCTTTACCAAAGAGATATATGCTTATCAAAAAACAATTCAAATCTACAGGAAAATATGAAGGAACACTTCATCCACCAAATACCAGCCCAGAGAACTGATGCTAACATCTGGTAAACATCACCTGAAGCATCCTTCTGTGCATATATAAGGCATTTTGAAAAAGAGAGAGAAATAATTTGTAGCAATGGAATTCACACTACACATATCACTTCTTAACTATATTTACATCTACCTGAATATTCCAGAAGAAAAAGTAAAACAGAAGAAAGAAAAATGAACTACAGAATTTCAATTGTTTACCACTAGAACTATTATTTCTTCCTTAAAGATCCCTCAGTATTTTTACAATTCTGGGTCATAAACCATTAGTGACTAGTATTTTTAGAGTAGATTAGGATAGAATATACCAGAATAGAAAATACCAGAAGGCATCACACTCTGTAGAAATGATTTTTGTTTTGTTTTGTACTTTATACCATGGATCAGTCCCAGTCAAAAAAAAAAGTATAAGCACTGGGTTAAAAAAAATTAAGAAGGGGTCAGAAAATCATTAAGAAGTTCAAACTATTCCAGTTAAAGGTCTTTTAAATTAGTTTCCATTTTCAAGGGCATCAAATGACATTCTTATACAAGATCAGTAATTAGCTTTGTAACACCTCCTTTCTCCCTATCTCTTAATTTTGTGCATATATTATTTGTAAAGATTTGAGGTTTATATTTCCATTCTTTTCTGCAACCATAATTAGTCCAGAATGCTTTTCCATTCTGACTCATGTTGGTTTACTGACTTCATCCATTAGAAGGGTTTTGAAGAAGAGCTCATGGGACCTGGAGTCCCTGCTTGTAAATGTCTGTTACTTCTATAATTATAAACAACTTGGCTAGATGTCTTAGGTCACATGTTCTTTCCTTGAGAACTGGGTAGATTTATAGATATCACCCCAACTGCACTGAATGCTGTTATGAGGAAAACAGAAATGAGTCTCATTTTTTTGGTTCATGAAGGAAGATAAACTGCTTATTCAGTTTAGAGACCTAAATAATCTATCTTCTGTTGAATGTATATTGCTGTATATGTTTTTCTTGGTATAAACTACATACTTTCAATCTGCAGATTTGGGTTTTACTATAATTCGGAGAAATTGTTGGTTGCTACTCCTGTTTCATTGTTAGAGTCTTTCCATAATGGGCACACTTATCCTTATGCTAAGCCATCTCTGTCTTCCACATGTATATCTTTTCTCCAATGCTTTTAGCTCTTAATTATATCCACTTGTTTCAATATCCTCTTCATTCTGCTCCTTGCTGTTTGCATTTATGAGTTTATAATGGTGAGATTTGGTTTGTAGTGATTTCTCACAATTCTACAATATTCCTTTTCATTTTATTCTATTTTTTAATACATTATTTTCACATACAAACCATTTACAGGCACTCTGTCTCTCTACCTTGATGTATGTTTCTTCCAGACTGAGTTCATTTTCTTTTTTTTGGCATGCTCTATTCATTCTTTGCTTTTTGTTCCCCAACAGGTAAAGGATGGGCTGCAATATGTTAGCATACTTACCATGTTTCTCCCTTCTATCCTGCTTATGGTCAGCTCAGGCAGTTCCTCCAGTCTAAGAGCTCTAATATATCATGAATGAATTTTCTGGAGCACTGCCTCACATATTATTAAGACCAATCTGTCTTTTTCATTTTTTTAAACTCCTGTTTAATTTATTTATTTATTATCATTATTATTGAGTTGGCATCTCATGCCATTGCCCAGGCTGGAGTGCAGTGGCACACTCACGGCCACCCCAGTGTTGACCTGCTGGGTTCCAGCAATCCTTCCGCCTCAGCCTTCCAAGTAGCTGGAACTACAGGCGCATGCTACTATGCCCAGCTATTTTTTGATTTATTGTAGAGACAAGGACTCGCCAAGTTGCCCGGGCTGGTCTCGAACCCATGGGCTTAGGCAATCCACTCGCCTTGGCCTCCCAAAGTGCTGGGATTACAGGCTGAGCCACCGAGCCCGGCTGTCTTCTTCTTAAGGTTTCAATTTCTTTTTTACATTTTTTAAAAAAAGAGACGAGGTCTTACTATGTTGCCTAGGCTGATCTCGAACTCCTGGCTTCAAGCAATCCTCCTGCCTTGGCCTCCCAAAGTGTTGGGATTATAGGTGTGAACCACGTGGCAGAGGCTGCAATTTTAATTCTACCTCTGTGTCTGCAGAGATAGAGGAAGGGAGATAGCTTGGCTAGGGCTGCATGCAGTCCTTGCTGGAGAGTGTAGGTTTTATTCTCTCTTCTTAGCTCCCCCTTTGAGTTAGGACTTGCTGCCCAGTGAGAGGAGTGCAGTTAGCAGACAGCCTCCAGGTCAGTTCCTTCAGGATCTGCTGCAGCTGCAGAAGATTCACCTCACCCGAGGTCATGCACTTCCTTTGGGAGCCCACATCCAGTGACTGAGTGAGGTGGGAAACTACTTCAGTCCAAGGTGGTGGGACAGGTTTGATGGGCAACTGTTGCTCCAGAGCTCCCTGCCAGTTAGACGAGCCCTTGACAGGCCTGCATCATAGTTTGACACCCCCCTCTGCCCAATCCTGCTTCCTCCCCCTTCCTAATAAACCTTGTCTCAGAGAACTCAATATGTGATAACATCCTCACCAAGTCAGAAAAGTGTTTAGCCCTGGGTCCCTACCTTCATTTAGTCTGGGCACTGACCGGAAGATGACAGGACTCAGCAGACCTCCCTGCCTCTGCTATGGCTGAGTGACATGAAAGGGCTTCCCCCTCAGCCCGCTCTCTACAAATGAAAGGATATTAAGAATACTTCCCAGAATTTGGTCAACGTATCATTTCTCCTCAGTTCTACTACTGGGGGAAAAGAGGAGACAGAGCCACATCTCCTGCCATTTCATCAGAATTTTTTTCTTTGAGTCAAGATCTCACTGTTACCCAAGAAGTAGTACACTGGCACGATCACAGCTCATCACAGCCTCGAGCTCCTGGGCTCAGGCGATCCTTCTGCCTCAGTCTTCCAAGTGGCTGGGACTACAGGTACGCACCACCATGCCTTTCAATTTTGTAATTTTTTGTAGAGAGGTGGTCTCATAAAGTTGCCTAGGCTGTTCTCAAACTCCTGGGCTCAAGCAAAGTGCTAAGCCACCTCAGCCTCTCAAAGTGCTGGGATTATGGGGATGAACCACCACACCCAGCCCATTGTTCTTACTTTACAAATTACTGGGAAAAATCCTCAATAAACTTAACTTTAAGCAAATTGAATAATGGTATAAATACATGAATTACTATCACGATGATATAAAAAGTAGATGTATATTAGATCAAGTCTAGATAGCAAATCAAGAAAACAAAAAATGAAAAAACAAGATTCATTTGGTAGGATTATAGGTGATCTTTGTTTTAAATGTCATTGAGTTGTAGTTTTGCTGTAGTTTCTTCAATTCAGCACATTTTCTTTTTTTTTTCTTTTTTTGATTTGGAGTCTCACTCTGTCACCCAGGCTGGAGTGTAGAGCATGCTCATGGCCACTGCAGCCTTGACCTGCTGAGCTCAGATGATTCCTTCCACCCCAGCCTTCCAAGTATCTGGAACTACAGTTGTGTGCTACCATGCCCAGCTTATTTTTTAATTTATTATAGAGACAAGGTCTCACCATGTTGCCCAGGCTAGTCTTGAACCCCTGGGCTTAGGCAATCCTCTCACCTTGGCCTCCCAAAGTACTGGGATTATAGACTTGAGCCACCGCACCCGGCCCAATTCAGCACATTTTTCACTACATTGACCATGGGTCAAGTGCCAACTCCATTAAGGGTCCGGGGCTCACCATCCCTGGCTTCTCAACTCAGAACATCTACTCATAATTCGGCACCTACCACATGCCAGCAATGATGTACCATGGTGATTCATGCCTTTATTATTTCAATTTGTCCTCAAATCAACCCTCTGAAACAAGTACCATCATACCCAGTATAGCTATCAGTAAATAGAGGCTAAGGATATGTGACTTGCCCAAGGTCACACAGCCAAGACATGACAGCTGGGATGTGGCACCTGTGCTCACTCCATGCTGCCCTCAGCCTTCTGTACCCTGGTGCTGGTGGGGATTAAAGGAGCCTGCAGGCATGAGGCCTCCTGGAGCAGCACTTGCCTCGCTATCATCTTCTTCATGCTGCCACCTGTGCTAGATGTGCAGCATGCCACATGCCCACACCTCCTATGCCCACTGAGGGAGGCAACAGAGACCCCACTGCCTCTGCCCAAGTGCATGCAAAATCCTATCATACTGAGCCCCAAGCCCGTTCATGGCATTTGGACAAGGTCCAAGGTTCTGGGGCAGAGGCTGAGGACAATGATACTGAGTCAGGGCCCATCCCCTCTGTGCCTGCTGCCTGCACACCTTCCTCTGCTGGGTTCTGGAGCTGTTGCTGGTGGCACAGGGAACGAAAGGTGTCCTCCTCCTGCCAGATGACCCGGTGCAGAATAATCCAGGGCAGCACTGAAGAGACATGAGGCTCCTTGATCTCCTCCTGCACAGCCATGCTGCAGTCAATGACCTGGCGGGGAGCAGGAGGAACCAGGGTTATCACAGCAGGGCCAGCTCTGCCCCTGCCTTCCTGAGGTGAGCCCTCAGGACAGACTATAGATGGGCAGGGGACCTCTCAGGAAGCTGGGGCACACTGTCTACCCATTCCCGCTGCTTTCATAAGTTCCCCAGCATGTCATCAGATAGAGCCCCATAGTGTCCAACAACAGTGATCTATGTTACTGATGCCCTCACCACTGACTGTACTGGGCCCTGTGAACTGGGCATGTGGGAGCCAACAACCCAGGAGAAGAGAGCCATGGACAAGCCATAAGAGCACTAAGGGTTAGTGCAGCTGCTGTGAGAACAGATGCAACCATGGAGACTTGCAGAGGAGGGGTGGGCAGACAGAAGAGAGCCCTTGAGAGGGAGTTTCCAGGTGAGTAGCTATGGAGTATCCAACATCCAGAGAGGGCAGCATGGGGACAGAGGACAGGCATATAGGCAGGGACCCCAAAGGGTGGTCCAGGAATGTTGCAGCCAAGGAAATGGAAGAAAAGAGGGAGAGGCAGGTTGGGGACTCAGTGTACCTTGGGGGACATACAACCCAGAGGGAACATGGTGATTTTAAGTAAGGGAGGAGCATATTCATATTTGTTTTGAAAAGGAGCCTCTATGGCAGGACAGTGGCTGGACTGGAAGGCTAGAGGGGCAGGGGGACTGCAGAGAGCATGCTGCCATGGTTCAAGCATAGATGGTCGTGACCTGGACTACAGTAGAATACGAAGACAAAGGGGAGAAACAAAGGCTGGAGATAGTAAGGATGTGGATTTGGCAGAACTTGCTGATGGCCTGTGTACATTGAGAAGAAAGCTGAGAGTGGCTCAGAGGAAGGTTCTCTGCTTCAAAGCCTGCCTGGACAATGTGGGGTGCCATTACTATGCCTCAGCTCAAAGTGCCAGGACAGTCTGGGGTAGTAGAGAACACTGGCCTGGGCTCTGGCCCTCATTCTACCTGAAACTCACTGCAGGTATACCAGGGCCTCCCCTCTGAGTCTGTTTCCTCCCCATTGGGATAGGTGCTCTGGACAAACCTTACAGCCAAGTGCTATACAATCTCTAACCCCCACACTCAATCAGCCCAGGAAAGTTTGCAGCCCATGCACAGCCCCACTCAGATGCTGAAAGTTTCAACCAGAGAAACAAACACATTCCCTTTGGAGTGCCTAACCAGCAATGAAAGCAGTGAACTACTGAAGACGGGGGAGACATATCTGTTGGGATAAGGAAAGGTGAAAAAGATTCAGGAGTTATCTGGATGAGGTTGCTGGTGAGTCGCACAAGACCGGTGGTGGAGGATGATTCCTTCAGGATGCTGCCACTGCTGTCTGCAGAGAGTGTCTGCGTGATGCCCAGCAGCAGCTGGGTCACTGTGGCTACCCACTCTTCCTTGGTTGCAGCTTCACTAGAGTTCACCATCTGTTGAACAGCCTGATTCAGAGCCACGTCAGAACACTCGAAACGCTGCTGGTGGTCCTTCAAGTGGAGCAAGGAGTCCTAGCACGGGAGGAAGCCAGGTGGAAGGTGCGCTGTGAGCTCATCACACCTGGGCACCCTTAGCACACCTGAGGGGGAAGAGCTGGGGGAAGACAAGGGCCAGTGCAAAAGAAAGGGAAGCACACTGCTCAGCACAATGCAGGCCCCACATAGCCATGAGGTGCCTGGGAGGGCATGTGGTGAACTGTATGTGATGACAGAATAGTGTGCCACCTGCCAGGGAGCTTTCAGAAAGGTGTTTCATCTCTATGCCTCACCTTTTGCATTTAGACAGCTGGGATGCTGGGAATGAGGCTGCAGGACAGGCCCAGGTGAGACAGTGACTTCAACACCTTAGTCAGCTTTTTCCAGAGCCACCGCGCCCATCCAGTGCCAGGACTCTGCAGGAAGTTCAGCAAGGGAGGGGCAGGCTGCCAGGAAGGGACTGTCTCAACTAAGGAGGGCCTGAGCCAGGGTCATAGTACAGTAGGAGCAACAGGCTAAGCAGTGTTGAAGTCGTCATTCTATGAGTTCTCTCTTCCCCAGGTGCTCTGGTGGGGCCAATGGTGGAGCCAACTTATAAGTCCCTCTGAGTCTCGGCCGCCACATGGTACTCTCAGAGGTACTGTGGTCATTAAATGAGCTGATGTGCACATCACACTCAGCACAGTGTCCAGCACACAGAAGCGCTCTCAGAACAGCACAATGAGTTGTTACTTCTGTTTTAAAAGCTCTTCTTTGGAAGCTATTCCTTTTTTCTTTTCTTTTCTTTTTTTTTTTTTTGAGACAGGGCCTTACTTTGTTACCCAGGCTGGAGTGCAGTGGCATAATCCTGGCTGACCACAGTCTCAACCTCCTGAGCTCAAGCAGTCCTTCCACCTCAGCTTCCCTATAGCTGGGACTACAAGTACTTATTTCCAAACCCGGCTTTCTTAAAATTATTTTTTGTAGAGATTGTGTTTCACTATGTTGCCCAGGCTGGTCTCAAACTCCTAAGCTCAAGTGATTCTCCCACCTCGGCTTCCTAAAGTGCTAGGATTAATAGGCATGAGCTATCACACCCAGCCAAAACTCATTTTTTTGGCCTTAGAATACAACCCATTAAACACCTGGGATCTCTACCTCTTTCATTACTGTTGGTGCAGGGGGAAATGCACCCTGTCTGTGAATACACAGATTGGTTGGGCCACATGTTAGACCCACGGGAAACACCTGCTGCCTGGGGCCACACTGTGCTCTGACTTCACCACAGCCCAGGCCTGCTCACCTTGATATGTATAGCTGCAACATACATTGACATACAGGTGACATTGACAGGTGTGGGGACAGAAATACTTGCAACTGCCTTTGGGATGTGGTATGACATCTGATCACAGATTAAAACCTTCCCCAATTTATAGGCCTAATTGCCAGGAAGATGGGCCCTGTGTTTCCTAAAGACAGCCAGCACCTTTTAATGGAATGCCCCTAGGAGGGCTCCTACAGGGTGCAGATGTTGGGTCTAAGGCCTAAGTTGACTCCTTCGGGTCAAAACATCGAATACATGAGGGGCAGGAGATTATTTTCCAGCAGGATAAAGACTGTTGGCAGCCGGGCTCAGTGGCTCAGCCTGTAATCCTATGCCTTGGGAGGCTGAAGTGAGTGGATTGCCTGAGCCCGTGGGTTTGAGACCCACCTGGGCAACTTGGTGAAACCTCATCTCTCCAATAAATAAAAAAATTAGCTGGGTGTGGTAGCACACGCCTGTAGTTCCAGCTACTTGGAAGATTGAGGCGGAAGGATCGCTGGAGCCCAGGTCGAGGCTGCGTGGCCGGGAGCAGCCACTGCACTCCAGTCTGGGTGACAGAGTGAGACTTGAACTCAAAAACAAAAACAAAAAAGACTGTTGGCTTCAAAGACAACCAGAGCTGTAGGGAAAGTCAGGGACAAGACAAGGACCTGCCAGCAGTGCTCTAATATGACATAATCCCCAGGGCCCAAGGCCAGAAAGAATGAAAAGGCAGAAGATTTACTGCCAACAAATGAGACCAAATTATTGACTGTGGGCAACACAATCATCTACCCAAACAAAACAAACAGAAAACAATTGGAAATGATAGGCATTCAGCGAAGCAGCTAGACTCAAAACAAACACGCACAAATCAATAGGGTTTCTATAAACCAGTAATGTAGGAATATACATGGAAAAGACAATAAATGACAAAACGATTCTGCTCAAAATAGCAACCAAAAATATTAAGGATTAAGAATCAACTCCCCAAGAAGCAAAGCATCCAATTATACTGAAGAACACAGAAAGTGTGGGAAAGTCACCACACACCTACAGGGAAGGATTCCACATCTGAGAACAGCTAGATGAAGCAAGTTAAAGGCAAACATAAAACATTAACACTGCTGAAAGAAAACAAAGGCAAACACACTTTTTTTTTCTCTCTGCTGATGGATCTCTTGTCTGCCTGCCCTCTAGAACACAAGTTTCCCCAGAGCAGCCTTTATCTTGTCCAGTGCCAGGCACCATGCAAAAGCTCAAGCCATGGGAGTGGGACAAGTAAATGAAATTTTGTTTTGTTTTGTTTTGAGATAAGGTCTTGCTCTGTCACCCAGGTTGGAGTGCAGTGGTGCCATCCCAGCTCACTTCAGCTTCAAACTCCTAGACTCAAGCGGGCCTCCTGTCTTAGTCTCCAGAGTAGTTGGGACTACAGGATGTGCCAGTGATGGGGAGGAGCTGCTGTGGCTGAGGCCTGGACCAGTGCTGCGGGAGTTTTTTGTGACGCCTGATTATGTTGCTTAATTTCCTATTGAGAGTGTGTTTTCCTATTGATTTGGAGTGCTTTTCTCATATTAAAAATATTCATCTTTTTCTCATCAGATCTTATAAGTATTTTTCCCAGTTTGTTGTTTGCTCTTAAATTGCAGCTTTTGTTTGTTGTTGTTCTTTTTTTTTGACATATAGAAATTCTGAATTGTTATGTTCTCAGATCTTTTGATATTTTCATATATTTGTAATTTTGTTCATTGTGTTTTGTTCATTATGCTTTCAAGAAAAATACTGCTGGGCGTGGTGGCTCCCACCTATAATCCAAGCACTTTAGGAGGCTGAGGCAAGAGGATCACTTGAGCCCAGAAGTTCAAGACCAGCCTGGGAACATGGTGAAACTCCACCTCTACAAAAAATAATTTAAAAAAATTAGCTGAGCACATCTAGCAGTTATAGACAACAACAGGAACAAGATGACATCTGAGCACTGGATCTATCCTACAGAGGCAGAGAGGGCAGGCCTCTCCCCTCTGTTTCCCCATCCAAGGCCCTCTTTGGTACACCCTGCTATCCCTCCCACACAGTCATGTTGGGCCACCTCACAACCTGCCACAGTAATTGAGGTCAGACACATTTTATCTACTGATCTCAGCTTGGGCCTGACTGACATCCTCTGGGAGGAGCTAGAGCCTCTCTCCCTCTTCTACCTGGCCCCTCCTCCTTCTTCCCCAAACCAACTCTTTCTTCTCCTTTCACCAGGACTGAGATGTTTCCATTTGTTCCCATAGTTGCACCTCTTAACTATTTCCCAGTTCAAGAAGTTAATGATCCAGATGCCTAATGTAGTCTGAGCAAGAAACCCAGACGAGGACTGGACTCTCCTTCCAAATGGAAAAGGAAGGACCCAGTGAGATAATAAATAGAATGTGATTGGTGTGATGAAGCATCAGGGACCAAGACTCCAGGCCAGCCAATGCTACTAAGCATGTTAAGTAAATTATCTTTCATGTTTGTCTCTTGCTGACTTGACTCGGCCTTCCTGGGGATGGTGGCAATGATGACAGCGGCAACTCCATGGCACTCACTACGTGCCAGGCATGGTACCCACATTCATTAACTTGCATGATCCCCACAAAAGGCTTCTGATCATGCTCATCCTAAAGATGTGAACTGAGACTCAAAGAGGCTAAGTAACTGCTCTACACCCAGCAGATGCAGGATCCCTGGCAGGTCCTCAGAAAGAGTTTTCTTCAGGGGATCTTGGCAAGATGGAGATGGAACAGTTCCGAGTGTGAGAGTCTCCGCAAAAGCAAGTCCATAAAGAATCTCTGCATGAGTGGGTATGTGCTGGTGGATAAGTGAAAGTCCATCTGAGGAGAGACTCGGGTTCATGCACCCAGGGTTCTCCTCTGGAGGTGACTGCAATCCACTACCACCCTGAGATTTGAGTACCCAGCACACAAGATCATCTGCTGTTCTCAGGGCTCTCTTGAGAGGAGGTAGCAGAGAATACCTGCTCCTTACCACCTGTCACCTGGCCCATATCGACACCTGTGGTAGCAGATCGGGCACAAACAGGAGGAACTGTGAAGAAGACAGGGTTGGAAATCTGGAACAGAGCCCCACCACTGGTGACAAGATGCCAAATGGCGCCATCTTCTCAGTTCTGGGATGGGCAGAGACCTGCATTGCCCCGCCAAGCTCTGTCCAGTCTCCAACCTGGGACCCAGAGAGGTCTTAAAGAGACAGACGCCTCTCCCCAATGCTGGAACAGGCACAGACATGTCAAATTTGAGTGGGAGGCTTGACAGCAGCGGCAGCAAGTCGCTTGAGTCCAGATCTGATCCATCCATCTCCCACGGTAGTCTGTGGGACATCTGACCCACACTAAGAGAAACCCTCTCAGTCTGCACTGAGAGCAGAGGAGAGGGACTGGAGAAAAGAGGCGCTCCTTATCGAGGTGGCAACCATAAGGAACCTGGAGTTACAGAAATGGCCACAGAATGAGTTTTTTTCCTTTTTTGCTTTTTGTTTTAGTTTTTGTCTCTCTTTCTTTCTGCTTTTATGTTTTCATACTTGCTTTATTTCTGTTATTCTAATGTTGTTTTTAAGATTTTGTTTGTGTATGGGTATTTTTAAGGGAGAGTACATCAATGGGGGGGTTTGTTTGTATGATTGTATTTTTTTTGTTTTTTATGTCTTTGGTTGTTTCTCTGTTTATTCATTAGTTGGTACACCTATCTGTTTTCCCTGTTCTTCTTCT